AAATGATCTCACCGCACTGCTCGTCACTGTTATCTCCACAGTCATTGTCTCCATCACAGTACCACAGGCTGCGGATACAGTATCCATTTTGACAATGAAACTCATCTTCCTCGCATTCTCGTGGAGCTGCTCAAAAACAAAAATCATACAGATGTTGTAAAGAAATGGGTTAAAACAGATTAAACGCTTTCACAAAACAATTACACTTTGTTCTGTTTAAAAGAATAGTTCACCTAAAAAATTAAATTTGCTGATGTTCTCACCCTCAGGCCATTCAAGATGTAGATGTAGGTTGTTTCTTCAACAGATTTGGAGAAGTGTAGCATTGTGTCACTTGCTCAGCAATGGATGCTCTGCAGTGAATGGGTGCCGTCAGAACGAGAGTCCAAACAGCTGATAAAAACATCACAATAATCCACAAGTAATCCACACCACTCCAGTCCATCAATTAATGTCTTGTGAAGAGAAAAGCTGAAGTGTTATTATACATAGAGAACTTGAGAACAATATTATAGATAGAGGACTTGTATTTTTGTGATGGTTTAAACGTCTTAATGATGGACTTGTTTCTTGCAAACACAGCGTTTCTCTTCACAAGACGTGGTGTGGATTACTGTGATGTTTTTATCAGCTGTTTGGACTCTCATTCTGATGGCACCCATTCACTGCAGAGCATCCATTGCTGAGACAGTGATGGAATCCTACATTTCCCATGAAGAAACAAACTCATCTACATCTGGATTAATGGATTATCTGAGGGTGAGTAGATTTTCAGCAAATGTTCATTTTTAGATGAACTGTTCCTTAAAGGTTTGAGAGTTGAGGAATATATTATCGATGCATTTTCATGTATACATTTTCAAGCAGTGCAACAGAAAAAGCTAGCAACACACTGCAGGAAGCTCAGATCATTAAGGCTAATGAGAAATCAATGAGAAAACAAGTTGACAAAAAGATTGAATCTAATATTTGGTGATAATATAGCATAAGAGATTTACAAGCAATTTTTGGATGTCCAAATTAGGAAAAAGATTCCGTTTTCAGTTCAAAAATAAGTATGACAGAAAATGCATAACTCCGTCCAAACAGCAACCTCTGACTATATATATTACTAACAAATGCAAAATTAGGTTTTATGGCCAGTAACAAATATTTATGGTCAGTAAACTTAATCCCATCATTGGCAGGTGTGACCCTAGCAAATATGTTTAGATGTGTCTATTTTACTCATTTAGCTGGAGTTGCTTTATTTGCAGTCTTTCGGATATTTAGCTATTATATAAAATACAGTAAGTGTGGGATATGTTTCCTCTAATTTATGTGAACAAAGCAAAAAATGTAAGAGTCATTTTTAAATCCGAACTAAAATTTGATAAATCTAATCTATGGTCTGATTACGACTTATGACTATAAAGTGAAGCCAATTTTGTCATTCAAGGATCTGGAAACTGTTATACAAGCTTTTAATTCATTCAGACCTGATTACAGTTATGTACTCTCAGAAAAGAGACGACATTTCTCCTGTGTGGACCTCTCTTTCCTTTAAGGTCGTCAAAAACCGTGCTGTTGTCCGTTTACAAGTCAGTCTAACATTTAAGTATTCTCAGAACATTTTACCTCTATTAAAGGGACAGTTCATCCAAAAATTTAAATTCTGTCCTCATTTACTCACTCTCAAGTTGTTCCGAACCTGCAAGAGTTTCTTTCTTGTGTTGAACGCAAAAGAAGATATTTTGAAGAATGTTGGAAACCAAACAGTTGCTGGTAGCCATTGACTTCCATAGTATGGAAAAAATAATATATATGTATGGAAGTCAATGGCTACCAGTAACTGTTTGGTTTCCAACATTCTTCAAAATATCTTCTTTTGTGTTGGAGGGTGAATAACAAATTTTCCATTTTTGGGTGTACCATCGCTTTAAGGATCCATTAATAATACACGCCACGTAATAACATGTACAACCACCTGGATTTGAGAAACATGCTTGCATCTCCTGCTTGCTCTTGTCATAGTGGCAGTCAATAATGACCATCTTTGAGCTTCAAACCAATGCGAAAGGTGTCATAAAATAATGATAGCATAATTATTTTATGATAGAGCTGCTGCTCTCATACACTCATGTAGACATGAGAGCAACTTCCGAGGTCAAGATTTTCACTAAATAATATATGACATTGCAGTTTGTTTCTCACCAAACCCTATCGTATGCTTTCAGAACACTAGAACATACAGCATGAGTCTTAAAAAAAATAATTTTGTAGCTTGAAAAGATCACTATCTACAAGAACAAGCATTTGTCAGATGTTTTCCTTTTGTGACTAAATAACGACTGAATTTTTTTTCCCTGTGCTTTCCTGCTCTTGGACTAGCATTCTGTACAAACTACCTAAAAACACTATTCTTAAACATGCTATTTTAAATATATTAAATGTACCCGAACTGTTCAAAATGTGAAAGAGAATTGCATTTCAGCACAGCTTCACTGCATCAGAAAGAAACAACAAAACAAACGTGTTTTTCATCTTTAAACTACAAGACAACAAAAATGCACAAGTTTACTTACGACAGTCTTGCTCATCGGAGTCATCCTCACAGTCGTTGTCTCCATCGCATAACCACGAGCCCTTGAAAAGATCACTATCTACAAGAACAAGCATTTGTCAGATGTTTTCCTTTTGTGACTAAATAACGACTGAATTTTTTTCCCTGTGCTTTCCTGCTCTTGGACTAGCATTCTGTACAAACTACCTAAAAACACTATTCTTAAACATGCTATTTTAAATATATTAAATGTACCCGAACTGTTCAAAATGTGAAAGAGAATTGCATTTCAGCACAGCTTCACTGCATCAGAAAGAAACAACAAAACAAACGTGTTTTTCATCTTTAAACTACAAGACAACAAAAATGCACAAGTTTACTTACGACAGTCTTGCTCATCGGAGTCATCCTCACAGTCGTTGTCTCCATCGCATAACCACGAGCGCCGGATGCATTTTCCATTATCGCAGTGAAAGTCTAACGGTGAGCATGTGGGCAATACTGAAGAAATGGAGGAAAGCAAAACCAATTAACCAATTTTAAAAAAGACAACAAATAACTTCAACTTTTCACATTTTAAAAGATAAATAAAATCATGCAATTATTTTAATGCTATATTTTATTATTATTAAAACATACTTATACTTATTATTATAAAGATTAAAATAGTAGTCGGCATTGTTATTTGATTAAAGTATAATACTACGTAATATAGTGTATTATTCTACGGCTCTGTGGAATACTTGATTCTGATTGGTCAGTCGCGACATTCCCGAGGTCTGTTATCCCTCGATAACAACCGCTAAAAGCTGATAACACAGGCTCATCCGGGTAACTGAAGTTGGCGCTATACGCTTGCTAGGAACAGTTTTTCTTTGTGGAAGCTTTGCGTTTGGTTAGCTAATAAAATATTAAAACTCAAATCAATATTACGTGTACAATTATTTATGTCATCCTGATATCGCGGACTCGCTCTTTCGTTTCATACAACCGCAGCTGCTGCCTTTTAGCGATGATTGTTTTGTACGCTGTAACGGATTATAAGAATTTATGGAAGTTTGGAGGAAGAAACTCCTCCTGAGTCTTTCTGTATCCTCAGGCTACGCTAGAGTTTGCCTGATCGCAGCATTGAGAAAAGGCCATTGTTAGGGTGGCAACGGTCCTTAATGATCTTCCTGGTGCTTGTTCTGCACCTCCTGGATTAAGTTAAGTGTCTTCTGTATGGCCCTGTAGGGGTGGATACGCTCAGCTGAGCACATCACCCTCCGCAGGGTCATACAGTTCCGTCAGGTGCCCTTTGTGAGGCAAAAAATATGCTTTCTATTGTGCCGCTGTAGAAGGATGTTGGAGGCATCCTGAATCTCCTGATACACAGCCAGGAACCACTTTTTTACCACACTGTGAATGCAGGTCAACAATTCCTTGTGAAAAAGAGGAGCGCTTAATTGTCCTGAATGTGTGTACTTCAAGTATATTTAAAAAAAAAAATACTATATTTGCAGATTATATACTATTACTGAAATAAGAAACATAGTCATGAAAGTGTCTCTTTAAGTCACTTAAAGGGATAGTTCAACCAAAAATGAAAATGTGATGTTTATCTACTTAGATGTAGGTGACTGTTTCTTCAGTAGAACACATTTGATGATTTTTAACTCCAGCCGTTGCAGTCTATCAGTCGTATAGTGCATGGCAATGGTAACAAAATCTATGAGAGCAAAAAAAACATGCACAGACAAATCCAAATTAAACCCTTGTTTGACACGCATGTGAAGTGTGCGTAGAATACTGTAACAATTGAAAAAAGGATACTCCAGCATACATGTACATATACTGTACACTACCATTCAAAATAACTTTTGTAGACAAGGGTTTCAGCAGAGGACTAAATAATAATTTTCCCTCAGAACAAATCTTAGAATGAGTAAACAAATATTTTGTGCATCAGTATGATGGGATTGCATTCTCATGAAGGAGTGTGTTTAGAGACTCACTGCATCCGTCTTCATCGCTGTGATCTCCGCAGTCATTGTCACCATCACACTGCCACTGCGCCGGGATGCACGTGCACTCGCCAAACGCACTGACCGCACATGTGAAGTGGTTTCTTCCACATGAGCATTCGGCAGCACCTAAAACACCTACAAAACACACACAAACACAAACATATGAGGTCAGCTATTTTATGAATAGTAGGTATGGAAAGATTCACTCAAGTCACAATTCGATTCACGTTTTTTTTTAACAAAATTAGATTTAAGAAATTATAAATTAAATGTGTCCTTTTATTATTGCTTGGACAAAATACTGAACATTTGTTTGTGAAATTGAAATATAACACTATAATACTATACTAATATAGCACTTGCATATTGAGGCAACCACTGCATTTTAATCTTGATCCAAACAAAGATGCTGCATACATGCAACATGAGCACTTTTTAATCTAAATTAGATTGTATCATTTCGAAATTTGAAGCAAAAACAGAATGGTTTAGAACTATTAGTGCTGTCAAACAATTAATCGTGATTAATCGAATCCAAAATAAAAGTTTTTGTTTGCATAAAATATGCGTGTGTTTTGTGTATTTGTATTATGTTTATATAAATACACACACATACAGTATATATTTTACTAATATTTACATGCATTTACATGTCTATATTTATATTCATATAATTTGTTATAAATAAATATATTTAATATATAAATAACATTTTTCTGAAATATAAACATGCATGTGTGTGTATTTATATAAACATAATAAATATACACAGTGATTTACAAGAAAATACCATCCCAGGTTCTTGCAGATTCTTTGTAATTATTTATTTGTGAAATTTACTAGCAATTTCTGGGTGAAAGTGAAGGTTTGTAAAAATGACTTAAAATATGATGTTGTGTTAATTAAAAGACAACGTAATAATTCACTATGGCATTTTAAAGTATAATTTGCTGTAAATTGTTCACATTTTTCTAATATCAAACATATACGTCGTCCAAGAGGCTCAAAAGATTGAATTGAAAATGTAGTGAACATTTTGGTTTCTCATTTTTAGAAATATGAAAAGTATTTTTTTTATCATTTTTATAAATGACATTTCTGTGTAATTTTTTTAAATGAAAACTAAAGAAATTAAATGTAAAAATGTGTTTTAGAAATAAAATAAACAATTAATTTTTACATTTAATGTACTTTTATTGTCCAAATACATAAAGAAAGATTAAATTTTACCATTTTGGTAAAAAAAAAAATAATAATAATGTAAGTAATTCATGGTTAATCTTTAGCCCAATAAATAAATACATAAAATTACAATGGTTATACACTGACAATTTGCTGACTCACATAATATATATTTTTAGTCCCGTTAAGCTTATTTGGACATAAAACGCATTAAAACCACGTTTTTATTTTTAGAAATTAAAAAAGGCTTAGCACTACTGTAACTACTGAGAGTCAGCAAATAATATATGATTGGATATTAGTAGTACTAAATTAATATAATATAAATAACACATTCCTCTGATGTTTTTACTATGCTGTATTTGTGTTTGGCTTCATTCCAGTTGCCCAGTCACTGCTATATGCTCTACATTGTCTGAACTAGCAGCTCAGAAAGACACCAGTCAAAGTGAGGCCACCCAGAGATTTTCACAGGATGCATGCATCAGCAATCCCTCCACACACACACACACACAGAGACAGACAGACAGACAGACAGAGAGAGAGAGACAGCAATTCCAGCACTGAAATTATTTGTCTTGGTGCTTAAGTAGCTTATCTGGATAACCTGCAATATATCAGCATGATGTTCGGTTCATTGTGCAGCTTATTCTGCCACTTAGGCTGCGTTTACACTGGCAGAAAAAATCAGATTTTTTTGCCCACATCTGACACAGATCAGAATAATACAACACTATTTTTCTTAGCAATGAGGTGATAACGTTTCACTTGTTTGCAAGCTTCACACTCGCTCTCTCTCTCTCTCTCTCTCATTAATTCATTCGAATTCATTTAAATAAATATCGTCTTGGCGCTACTTTATTTCACTAAAGAATTCTACCTCTAACGAGCTGTATAAAATAGCATACCACATGAAAATTACCGCCATTTTCCGTTATTTATCCGTTCAGTCAGATTTTGAGCTGCAAAACATCCATGACAGCCGTTGTCCATGCTGGCAAATAATACCTCAATGGCCGCTTCGCTACTAAAGGCTACACTATTTTTCTTAGCAATGAGGTGATAACGTTTCACTTGTTTGCAAGCTTCACACTCGCTCTCTCTCTCTCTCTCATTAATTCATTCGAATTCATTTAAATAAATATCGTCTTGGCGCTACTTTATTTCACTAAAGAATTCTACCTCTAACGAGCTGTATAAAATAGCATACCACATGAAAATTACCGCCATTTTCCGTTATTTATCCGTTCAGTCAGATTTTGAGCTGCAAAACATCCATGACAGCCGTTGTCCATGCTGGCAAATAATACCTCAATGGCCACTCGACGTGAATTATATAAATAATTTAATAGCACGGCCATTCAAAACCCGAGGGTCTACCATGTGCCTATAAAGCGATCACTCACAATCATTTTGGGTGGAAATTATGTAAACACAGATATCGGATACCAGTCGTGTCTAAATTGAATGCCAAAAAATCAGATATGGTTAAGAGATCGGATCTGTGCATTAAGACATGCAGTGTAAACGCAGCCTTAGACTGATTCAAAGTGACTAACAGTAGTTTGTTTTGATTTTAACAAGAAGTTTAAGGGTGTGTTTATCTGAAATAGAGCCAACAAAATACCAAAATAGAAAAAAAGCTCGAAACCAAGTGTCTTAAAGTCTGAGTATCTTTTTAAATATTTGATTTTGATTCATAAACTCTTGATTCAATTAGATTCCAATGTCAGTTTGATTCAATACCAATTAATTTGGATATATTTCAGTATAATATAAGTCAATATTTTTCTCAAGGGGGAAAAAGAAAACTGAAAAACAAAAGCTGAAAAATATTCAGAGAATCCAGTCAGTTGGTACTTTGCTAAAATATTAAGTGTTAAAATTAACAAAAGAGCCCAAAAATTTAATTAAATTAAAATGTCATTTTATTTTTAGACAATAATTATCACTTAAATAAAAAATGATGTCCAAAATCATTTAAATTGCACATAAGGTTTTGATAATAACTTTATAATAATACAGTTTTAATGATATAATTATGTGTAGGGATGTAACGTAATTAATGAAAATTTCTTATCACGATTATAGTTACCAAAATTATCACGGTTATCAGTATTATCACGGTATTGTTAAAATGTGCTGGATATGTTAAAAAAGTACCGACACACAAATCACTTCAAGTTTTATATCTAAAAATCAACAAACAACAAATAAAATGACTTTTTGTTTGCATAATCACTAAAACAATAACATCAATGATGTTCGGATTTTAAATGACAACTTGACTGACAACAGTTTAATAGCATGTTGAAATATCTAACGTAAATGTTCAAATAAAGCTTTGAAAAAATTTAATAAAAAGGTAAAACTCCCATTTCAGCCTTTAAATAAAGAAAAGATATAAGTCGAAATGATAATTGATTAATAAACGATTATATGTATTTTATCTGCTCCGTAAATAATTCTAGATAACTCATCTGAATTGTTTAAATGTGTAGAATCCACATAAGCTTGTTTTTCATCAACCGGTCAAAATTGACAGCAGGGCATGCAAATTCGGTCAGTTTTTTGGCCAGACAGAAACTGCACACAGGCTGAATGTAAATATAAGTCTCTGTAAATCCACTCGCTGACAGCAGGTGGCGCTGATGGAAAAGCTGAATTACAGCGGTTTCCCGTAACCTCCGTGGACAAAGCAGTATTGTAATTAAGAACACTTCCTTTAGGCATTACATGGAGCGAAGACGAAAACAAAATGCCATCGAATCATTTCTGAAGACAGTCAGAACCTTCAGAGGAACAATCATATAATTGATTCATTCATATATAGGGCTGGGTATTGTTCAAACATTTTCGATATCGATACCGATACCTTGACTTTGATACCGGTTCCTTAATACTTTTTTCGATACCAATTTTATGAAATCAATTTTAACAAGATTACATTATCTAAAAAAAAAAAAACTTTGGTTTTATTTTTCAGCTTGTTGATGTTTATACAAACTCAAAGACTCATCTACTGAGCCACTGCACAAAGGAACAAAATGTAACCAAAATAGAGCAAAAATAGTTTTAATAAAGCTCAAATAGTCTTCAGTTTACAAATCTGTTAGGCTACATTTACACTAGTTAGTGTTCGTGTTAAAACGCATAGCTCAGACAGAATCATGATTTCTATTTATTTTAATCAAAATAATCAAATTTTTTAATCAAAACACACACGGCAATCGGAAGTTATTACAAACACTCGATGGTGGTTTAAATTGAGTTTTGAGTAAAAGTGAATATAAATCGTATTTATTGTCTTATGTCGCATGATGCTGCAGTTTGCATGAATGGTCGCATAACACGCGCTTTCGGTCGTGTAACATTAGTATGAACAGACATCTGCATATGATCGGAACTCCACGCAGCTCCCGCGCTACTCTCCATTGGAAATGAATGACCGGTCTGTCGCTTGTCGGAGATAGTGGAAAGCCGACATGAAACGCAGTGGAAACGCCAGTACGATGAGGATCGTTTCCATTTTAAATCAAACGCACCAGTGTAAATGTAGCCTTACATCTAAGGGGGCTGGGACGCATTCACACTACAGCCTCACGTGTGCGCCACATCTCTGAGTGTAACCGGTGTTAACTAGTAGGTGTGTCCGACTTGACGCGGACCGACTGTGCAGACCGATCGGTGTATTACAGTACCACGAGAGCTAAAGAGAGCAGACTGCTCCGTGCGCTTTCGAATCACTCTCGCGGATGATCGATCTGAGCCGCACCTCTTTTAGTCGAACACACCGGCTAGTGCTGCAGGCTTATTGGCTCACTGACGCTGATGAGATTAACCCCTTAGGTATCGAATTTGGTACCGAACGACGAGACGTTTTTCGATACTCGATGGTATCAAGGCAATTCAGTCGGTGCTTAAAAAGTATCGAACTCGATACCCAGCCCTAT